GTAAGGTAGGTAGGATAAAGGTCTACAAAATCCTCAATGAAGTGGAAAAGCTGATTTGGATGAGTTTCACTGTCTTTGCCCAAGCAGTAACTTGGTAATAACATATTAACTCATGAGATCCAGTCTTTTTGCAAGTCTTCTAATATTTTTCCTTAAAGTCTAAGCAGCTGGAATATGTTATCAAACAAGAAGACTCTCAAGCCTCTTTAATTATAAAACAAGAAGTTCAGAGCTGCCAGACAGAATACCTTTCTAACTTTTAGCATAAATACCTCAACTCCCTTCTTGACTGTCTTAGCTCATGATGATGTACTGCAGTCAGTCTTTTTCTTTTCCTTCTGCAGAAATTTTCAGCACACAGACACTGATGGTTCTCTTTCCCTGGTTTCTGGCATTCCACAGTTACTCATATACAGAAAGTCAAGTGCACATGGTGTCCTGCTGTGAGCTACCAAGGCTAATTGTCCTTTGAAGCTTTTCCCATTATGTTCCAAAACCTTAACTTGCTGTTGTTGGATATGGTGAAGTACCATAAAAATGGAGAAGTGTTTTGTTGAGTCCCTTAAATCTGTAGAGGTGTAAAGGTTTTGCTCCTCTGTTGTATACCTGAGCAGCTTTGTCAAAGGAGAAAGGACAACAGACTTAAGGGAGGTATAAGCAGATTTAAGCAAGAGATGGGAGAGGGGTTGCAGAAATAACATCTATGGTAGCTGGACAGAGAAATACTGTGACTGGCAGTCTGCAAAGAGACACAGAAAGTTAGTCTCTGCATTAGTCTCCCTGCAGTTAGAGAATGTCTGTAAATACTTTTCTTCATAGACAGCCAGTTTCATTGCAGAAACATGGAGCCTTTTCAACATAAAAGCTGGAGGTGCAGCAAATCTCCAGATCTCTGCTGTAAGGAAAGGAATCTGATTAACAGACATATAAACCACTACCTAGATACAGAGCAAACATCTCATAGAAAGACTCATATCTCTGGAAATGTGAGCTTGCCATGCACAAAAGGTGCAACTTATCTGATCAAAATAGATAACATATGTTGCCCGAAGCATCTTATTGCTCGGCAACATTCATGTTGACTTCATCCTCTGTTCCCTAAATTTACGTGATATCTGCTTTGATTATTGGTTGCATGCAGACATCCAGGTGTCGGTAGATCTCTGTGCCATGGACCCACACCACAAAGGCAATGTTGGTATCCCAGGACTGTTATCACTTTCTTCTTGACAGCTGAATTGTATTTTGCCATCTTCATGCTTGCAACAGCAGGTTGTTTATCTGATGTAGGCTCATGACCTGGGAAATAATATTCCTGGGGACCTCAGCAAACATTTGAATAGGTTGCAGGTCTTTCTCACTTCCCCAGATTCATATAGGTTCAGAAAATAAAGGATAATATATAAGTTAAATGACTGGAAGCCTCTTCCCCTCAATTACCTCTAAAAAGTGTCTGTTCACCTTATCAATTAGAAGCTCTATACAGAGCGCAATGGTTTTTTCTCCCTCAAAAAGTTTCAGCACTGCAACACTGATGGTTTGGTTTCCCCAGTTCGTCATTATTGTCAACAGGCTGATATTTTTCTCTTCCCCATTTCACCTTGCATTCCATAGTAAATGCAGAATGCATCAGTATTGCACCCTATTTGCATGGGGTAATGCAAACTGCTCTGTACACTTACACACAAAATGTCCATATGTTTGAGCGTTTTTAATGAGGCAATTGTTCCCACATATTGCTGCTAAAACTAAACCTTTAAACAAGTACAAAAATAAGATACAATACAGAATATAATTTTTCTTAAATTGATAAATCTTATCAGACTGAGAGGACAGAAGACAAAAATAAAGACTTTATTCTGACACTATCTAAGTTTTTATTTCCACATCCAATAAAGTTATTTGGGTCATAGGGTAGAATTATTCCTGTTCTTAAAACCATGAAAATTTGCAGTGGCCTTAACCTCTGTGGTAAACATATATTATCACCTATTAGCAGGCTTATGATGTCTCTTTTTAGCTCCAATATCAGTGTATCTCTTTCAAGATATTGCTATACCTATTGTCATTAATATCAGCTCTGATTGTCCCTAAATCATAGAATCATAGAATCAACTGGGTTGGAAAAGACCTCCGAAATCATCAAGTCCAACCCTTGGTCCAACACCGTTGCGGTTACTAGACCATGGCACTAAGTGCCACATCCAGTCTCATCTTAAAAACCTCCAGGGACGGAGAATCCACCACTTCCCTGGGCAGCCCATTCCAATGCCTGATTACTCTCTCTGTAAAAAATTTCTTTCTAATATCTAACCTAAACCTCCCCTAGCAGAGATTAAGACCGTGCCCCCTTGTCCTAATGCTGGTTGCCTGGGAGAAAAGACCACCTTTCAGGTAGTTGTAGAGAGTGATGAGGTCTCCCCGAGCCTCCTCTTCTCCAGGCTGAACAACCCCAGCTCCCTCAGCCTCTCCTCATAGGACTTGTGCTTCAGTCCCTTCACCAGCCTCGTTGCTCTTCTCTGGACCTGCTCCAGCACCTCAATATCCTTCCTGAACTGAGGGGCCCAGAACTGGACACAGTACTCCAGGTGTGGCCTCACCAGCGCTGAATACAGGGGAAGAATCACTTCCCTGGACATGTTGGCCACGCTGTTCCTGATCCAGGCCAGGATGCCATTGGCCTTCTTGGCCACCTGGGCACACTGCTGGCTCATGTTCAGCTTCCTGTCAATCCAAACTCCCAGGTCCCTTTCTGCCCCTCCAGCCACTCTGTCTCCAGCCTATGGCGCTGGATGGGGTTGTTGTGGCCAAAGTGCAGGACCCGGCACATACATGTACATACAGCCACGGACAGACAGTTATATGATGTAATTTTTATAATTAAAACTAGGAATTTGAGCGTTTGTGGTATGTGGCCTTTAGTTCTTAAAAGTTACATCTTTTTAGAGCTGCTTGAAACTTAGTGATCAAATACGTAGGAAAATGACGGTATGCACTGCCCTCTGGTGGAGATTTAGATAATAAACATAAGAGCTCCACAAATGTTCTCAGCCTTGGAGCCTCGGAAGTTATTTTCCAGAAGAGCTGGGATTCCAGTTGAGACAATAAATATTTTCTTTTCTGCATCTTATTTTCATTTTCCCTAGCTTTATACTGTTATCTTTTCAGTTATCGTTATACTGGATAAGCAGAAGGAAGAATTGTTTTTCACACTTAGGCAACTATATATTTGCATCTTACATCATATATCTGTACACACATTTTTTATAAACACACACACATATATAGCATATGCATGCTATATAATATATACATTATGTACATGCACACTTTCCCCAAAAATATTTAATGAACTTTTTAATATGTTTTTTAAATATAAACAATTCACCAACAGTGGTCTTTATAGTCTGCTATGCTATTTCTTTTTGTCTAGAGATTATGTGAGTGTTAATGGGAGAGAGACCAGGGTAATGCCACGGTTAGAGGTGAAACTGCCTGCAGAGCACAAATCAGCCATGTGACTTATTAAGAGAAGTTCATAGATTCAGTATAATCCACTGCCTCTCAAACACACAAACACACAGATATCTAGAGATGTCAGCAAACACTTACCCTCCTGTCCCACTGATTACAGGCTTATTAGCCACTGCCCAATCTTCCCCTCTGAGGCTGCTCGTTGGCCCTGCACTAACAGCACAGAGAAGGCAAGCTGCAGATCAGAAGTTGCTCTCAGCAGCAGACATTGGCTGTGGCAGCAGCTTGGAAAGCCAGCACTGGAAGCATATATAATGTATGTAATGCTGCTGCTATGTCATGTAAATTGGGATGTGCTTGCAGCACAACATTTTATCCTGGGAGAGGCTATAGCACACATTTGATATCAGGTGGAAACTGGCAGGAAGGAAGCGTTCTTTTTTTTTTCTTCAACCCTACATTGCTGCTGTGGACCTGGCAGCTCGTCCTCTTGGGCAACAACCCTGTCCTTCTGTGCTCCTCTCGCTAGGATCTAGTTGTCTTCACACTGAGATTTTTTCAAGGCTCTAGGTTTCTCCACTTTGCAACACCTTTCCTGTGGCAGAGGCCACAGAACTGGGCAGATACATTTTCATTGGCAGAAAAAGGCTCCTTGAAAGACGTAAGTCTGAGCTCTTTGAATTAATGAGGCTATCCTAGAAAAGCCAAGCTGCCCTGTGAAAGGTGAAATGCTCATTCCCTTCATAGCAACTTTATAGCTAAGTCCCTAGGATTCACTAACTTCTTCAAAATGGACAGGCACTGTTCCCCAAACAAATTGATCCTGTGCTTGCACAGGTGGCTCAGAGAAATAATACACCCCGGTTGAAATACATACACTCATTGCAATACATATAAAGGTAGGGATAAGTATTTGATGATCATAGTGTTCTTTACATGCTTGAAGGTGTTACTGTGATGGCCACAGAGTAAATGCACAGGCAGAAACGCAGAGAAGTCCAGAACAAAAATATTGAGGAGAGGTCTCTGCAGTTCAGAGCTCTAACTGTTATTTTGCTTTTGTTCAAAATACCTTGGATATTTGAAAAAGTCAACAATTTCATAACCAACCTTGGACAAGCTAACCTTTGACTAGCACAGTCAGCTACAACAGAAACTTCTCTGATAACTGCTGGTGTCATTGATCTTCACCTCGGTCATCTCACTGCAGCCTCACACTTGCTATGTCTGACTCTTGCAAGGCTGCTATGGAGCAGTTAGTAAACACTGCTTTTCAAACCTCTCCCATCTGAGGCAGTTTATGTGATGTGGTTTAGCTTTTCACAGAAGGTTGTTTGGTTTGACATTTAGACCAGCATAAATAAGATATAAATAACGTAAATGAAAACATGTATTTCAATAGGTTGGTGGGTTTGTCTTTTAAATAAACAAAATCGCTATTTGTCATGTAAGTTTAACAGAATAAAAAATTTAGTAATTACCACTCCTTAAAAATAATAATCAAAGAGTCATACCTAATTTTCTTCACATGAAAAACCTCTTTTATTGGTTTCCATTTTTGGGCATTGTCTGAACTTTCATGGAAAATTGTTGATGAATTGTTTATATTTGAAAAACAAATTTAAAAGTTCGTAAAACATGAGTGTACATATTTCTCTTTCATTTATTTATTGGTTTATTTATTTATTTTACTTTCAGAAAGTCTGTTGTGCAAAGCAGAGGAGCAACATACAAGCAGAATTCAACCAAGGGAAACAAATCTTTCTTGTCTTACTCTTCAGTTAATGGGATGCCACACCTAAGACAGGGAAGTTATGTTGCATCTCTAAAGGCTGTAGAGGTGACTGTAGACAGATCTGCATTTGTTCCTGTCTGTCAAAACACGCTGGCAGGAACAGAAGGTGTTCTTTCATGTCAAGTCTCTTCTTTATACATTTACATGGGTTGGGATGGAGTCACAATTTCATTGCTCCATTGCAGCTTCACGCCAGTGGAACTATACTGGAAGACTGAATAAAGTGAGGAAAAGAAGAAAATTGAGCCTGTTGATTTGAGATGGAAAACTTTGCATTATTCTCTTATTTCTCTGGAGTGTCTGATTTTAGTTTACCATGCTTGCTTATATCCCACACAAAGCAAGGTGTAGTATAGAAAGATGACTCTGGATAAGAAATGTGCCCCAAATTCTAGGAACATCCATACAATTGCAATTTCCCTTTCTCCAGAAAGGGTAAGTATTGCAGTCATGTTGAAGGTGTATAAGAATTAGGATTTACACTTCTTAAGTTAAACTTGCAGGATTGCAACATTTTTTCAAGAGGAACAACTCCACATCTTTGCCCTATGTGCGCCAGGAAACAGGTTTCTGTTACCTGATGAGATCCTTGTCCTTTTATTCCAAATTATATTAGTATCATATGAAAGACACTCTGGTTTTCATTTCTGTAGCATCTTTCAAACCTCATATTAGAAAGGAGCGGTTTCACAGTTCACAGCCCTGAAAAGGAACAGTGAATTTGTTCTGACAGGCTCTAAGACAACCATAGACAATGTGTGCATGTCTGCCTGCTGGCAGTGCAATACATGCTCAGCCTTGGTGCTGGGGGCAGCTGGGGTCACAGCAGCCTCACCTCCATTGGGCTGTCAGATTTGGCAAGCCCTAACACAACCCATGGAATCACAGAGTGGGTAAGGTTAAGAGGGATCATGTGCTTCAACCTCCCTGCTCAAGCAGGGCCATCCTAGAGCACACTGCACAGGACTGTGTCCAGATAGTTCTTGAATATTTCCGGTGAGAGAGACTCCACAGCCTCTCTGGGCAGCCCGTTCCAGTGCAGTCACCTGCATATAAGGAAAAACATAAGTTTTTCCTTATATTCAGGTGGAAATTCCTGAGCATCAGTTTCTGACCGTTGCCTCTTGTCCTATTTCTTGGTATCACCGAGAAGAGCCTGGCTCCATCAATGAGACACATGGTCCATGATACAGTTGTCATAAGATCCAATTATTCAATGCAAACTTCTGTTTTAATGACTGGATATATTTTTAATGCTAGAGGACACATTTCACTTTTATCCTAGCCAACGGAGAAAATACGCACCATCACATTATTGGCAAGTTATGGGAAATAAATCTCAGTTTTTATGTTCTTTTTCTACTACTTTTTCTACTCGCTAAAAAGGGCATAAACACTCAAAAGGATACAATTAAAATTTTATAATAATATGACAGGTGATGATAATAATAGAATCATAGAATGTTAAGGGTTGGAAGAAACCTTAAAGATCATCTAGTCCCAACTCCCCCATGCCTTGGGCAGGGTCACTTCCCACTACCCCACGTTGTTCAAGGCCTTATTCAACCTAGCCTTGAACACTGCCAGAGTTGGGGCATCCACAACCTATCTGGGCAACTTGTTCCAGCATCTTACCACCCTCACAGTAAAAAGACTTCTTCCTAATATCTAGTCTAAATCTCCTCTTTCAGTTTGTACCCATTACTCCTTGTCCTATCACTACACACCCTTGTGAAAAGTCCCTCACTGGCTTCCCTGCAGGCCCCCTTCAGATACGGAAGGCTGCTGTGAGGTCTCCACACAATCTTCCCTTCTCTAGGCTGAACAGCCCTAACTTTCTCAGCCTGTAGGGGAGGTGCTCCAGCCCCCTGATCAACTCCATGGCTTCCTCTGGACTTGCTCCAACAGTTCCATGTCCTTCTTATGTTGGGTTTCTTTTTGACCTAAGAAATGCATGATAACACCTCTTTGCAAAATACTTCATGCCAGCATTAGTGGAGAGGAGGAGATGGGATATAAAACACGGCTCCTGTGGTGCGCACCGTACAGGTGTGCACTGGTGACCCACACCTTGAGTACTCAGGGGAGACCTTATCGCTCTCTACAGCTACCTGAAAGGAGGTTGGCCTCTTATCCCAGGCAACAGTAGAGAGGACAAGAGAACATAGTCTTAATGCTGTGCCAGGGGAGGTTTAGGTTTGACATTGGGAAGAATTCCTTCACAGAAAGAGTGATTAGAAATTGGAATGGGCAGCCCAGGGAACTGGTGGAGTCACCGTCCAGGAGGTATTTAAGGAAAGACTGGATGTGGTGCTATGGTCTAGATGACATATGGTCTAGAGTTCGTTCATAGGTTGGACTGGATGTCCTCAAAGGTATTTTCCAGCCCAGTTGTTTCCGTGATTCTGCGGTTTAAGCCCACGCCAGGTAGTGCGCAGCCGCTGACCGGCGCAGCTGCAGCCTCCCAGGGGAACACCCTTGCCCTCACGGCGGGGCGGCCGCCCAGATACTTTTCCCACCGCCAGACGCCCACGGCCGCCAAAGATGTGGCCCCGAGCTTCCCCTTTCCCCTTCATTCACCGGCCCGGCTCCGCCCCGCGGCCCCGCCGCCACATAAGACCGTCGCCGCTTCCCCGCCCCTACTCAGCGTGCAGCAGGAGGCTGAGGATCCGCGGCAGCCATGGTGTTGAACCCAGTGCTGGGGAAGCTGGTCAGTAAGCGGGTGGTGCTGGCAAGCGCCTCGCCGCGCCGCCAGGAGATCCTCACCAACGTGGTGAGTGCGGCCGGGCAGCGCTCGCCTCGCCCGGGTCGCAGTGTGCGGGCAGCGGCCGCCTCCAGCTGCCGGGCCGGGCCTGCGGGGCCCGCCCGCTCCCTGCTCCATGGGATCGGTGGGAGCGGGCCGGGGGGAGCAAGGTAGCCGTGTCCTTTCCGTAAAGCACCTGTGGAACGCAAGGAAGGCCGTAACTCGTCGTTCACCCCGTTCAGCCCCTGCGGGGGAACATATCGGCCTCGCTAGGCAGGCCGCGGGAGGCTTTTGAATAGCATTTCGGTATTACCCATCCAATTTAGATTGCTTAGTGTTATTATTCTTAATAATTCAACTGAAAAATTGAACTTAAATGGAAAAAATAACTTCACAGTACGAATATTTGGAGGAGTGCTGAGGTTCAGGCATGTACTCAGTTGTTAGAAACCGAAGGTGCCTGTTGGATGTAGTAAGTTCGCAAGTGTAACCTGGAAACAAAAAATGGAGGTTTTTGTTTTGTTTTTTTTTGACAAAACCATACAGAAACTGGCTGGTGTTGTTTTCTCTCCATCACATGTATAAGGACATGTAAAGGCTGGTAAAGCTCCTGTAAGACTTTGTTCTGCTGTTGCATAAGTGCTGTAGATAGATTCAATTAAAAAAAAATCCACTGGTAGAATACTCTGTTTATGAAGCACATAAGTTTTATACTGTTAGTTCTTTTAGGAAAAGACTGATGAAATTACTAGTGCAATTAGCTTCTAATAAATAAGAGTAAGATCAAATAAGCACAGCGGTTTAGAAGTTCTCTCTGACTGCTTTTTTGTTTGTTTTGTTTTGCAAATTATTTGTGTGGGCTAAACACTGTGGTAGAAGCACTGTGTTCTTCCCCCATGGGTTTGCCGGGGGAGGTGTGTTAAAGTGGAAAGAGCAAGAAGTCAAATTTGCCAATTTCTTGATATGCCTTGTGAGCAATATTTAATAACAAGACCGGATTGATTGCATCACTTTCCTCTGTTACAGGGCCTGCGGTTTGAGGTGGTTCCATCCTGGTTTAAGGAGACACTTGAAAAGTCATCTTTTGCAGCCCCTTTTGAGTATGCTGTGGAAACAGCAAGACAGAAAGCTCTTGAAGTAGCAAACAGAATGCATGTAGTAAGTTACTAGCTATTTTGGCAGTGAGATTTTTGTCTTTAAGTGGTGCGTGTTCCTGTGACTTATTTTGCATGCACTGCTTAAGTGACCTCTGAGTCCTTTTTCTCCACCGAAGGTGATTTGCCTAATCAAAATTCTCCTGCCTGCAGTTCAGGCTTTCCACAAACTGCAGTAGCCTGCATCTTCTGTTAGCAGCAAACCTACCCTTGTTTGGGAGATAGTTCCTTTGAAAAGTCAGGTGTGTGGCTGACCTAATTCCAGGTATTTGTTGATTGTGAAGACAGGCTATGGAAAAACCCTGATGTGAATCCAGTGCTTTGCTGTAGCTTTCGCTGAACAGTGGTGACAACTATAGCTCAGAATTTGTGAGTATAGAAATACCAGAAGAAAGCAGAAAAAAAGACAAATTCTATTCTGGGCAAATAAACACTCAGTTCCATTTTAAGAAGGGAGAAGTTGATGTGCCTTCAGATTCTGTAGACAAGAACCTAGTTTTGTATCCTAAATTTTATCAACCAGTGATGCAGCTTAAACTGTCAGTGGTGTATTTGACTTATGACGTTGACTGTTTTCACTGTGTTTGAGCCATAAGGCTGTTGTCCACCAGAACCTATTTTGAAGTCTAGCTGATTAAATCCCACAAAATGCACCATAATAATTTCTTAATAATAAAGCTTTGAAAGAGAGGAGTATGTTTGTTGATGCTATACTGGTGGCAGGAAAGGAATATTGAACACTTTAAACTAACTGTGTTGTCAGAGGTCACCATTCTTCAAATCAAATATTGCATGATCTCTAAAGTAAATCGTTACCCAGTTTTCTGTCAACTACTTTTCAGACAATGATACAACATTAGGAGAGTGGATTTTAAACCCAACCTCATTAAATGACTTACTTTGGGCTTTCATTGCTAAACACTATGCTGGGGATAATGCTCATTCAGTGGATTTCGAAATACTTCTTCATACTAGTTTTAGACATCATTTAGCAATTTAAAGCACATCAACAGCAATTCTGTAGAAGAATTGCCTCCCTACAAATGTTTTAATGTAATGGTCACAGTTACAGATAGGTTTCCTGTCATGATGTGTTAAATAATAACTATATACCTGATAACATGCAAGTAAATTAAAACTCAGCTGTTAAGGACAGATGCAGTTTGAAGTCAAGAAAAAGCTAAAAGGAATTTTTATATAACGCTACGTCTCATTACTAGAAAATGAACTGTATATGTTCCCTTTTGAAAGAGATAAGTGAAGTGTAGCTGGAGAAGATGGTTTTTATTTTTCAATAAAACTTGACTTGGAAATGTGATCCCAGAGGGCTGTATTCTCTGGCTTCCATACTCTTCCATACACTGGCTTCCATAAAGGCACTTCCTTTAAAGGAATTGTCTGCCACCTTGAGGATCAGGTTGACTTTTGTGAATGCCTTTGTTATTTCCTGGATGCAGTTGTGCATTAGCAATGTATTATTTGAGCAAATTTGTGATGCGAGAATAGGCTGTTCAAGCCTCAGTTTTATGGCGATATGAGTGATTGCTATTTTCTACACAGTGCAAAAGAAGAAATTGTCTTGTTTTCAGATCAGTGTAGAGCCCTCCTTGTAAATCAGTAAACTGATGTTTTCTTACTGTAAATTTTAAAAGATTTCTACCTATTCTGACGAATTATTATTATCTTCTTTCTTTATGCCTTTGCAGAAGCATATGAGAACACCTGATGTTGTCATAGGAGCAGACACTATTGTGGTAAGAAGTCTTCTGTGTTTTAGCATTATTTTATGACAAATGTAGGAAATACTTGTATCTTTATAAAGTTTGAAAGCTGCCTTCACTGTGAAGTTTGTGTTTCTAGATGTGTCTTTTTTCCCAACAAGGTAATTTTTGAAATCTTGAGAGCCAGAGGCCTTGCTGCTGGTTTTGCAAACACTAGTACTGCATAAGTATTGCCTTGAATCCTCTAATATGTAATGGAAATCCTGTTCTCAGGCAACTGTTGGCTGTCGAAGTCCAGATCGTGTAAACTGTTCGGTGTTGTGCCTTGTAGAAGGCATCATTTTATACCTGTCATCTCCACAGAGATGGTGCATGGTTAAGGACAGAAAAAGTTGGATTGCCCTTTTGTTTGAGAGCTGCCAGCACTGGAGGGGGTAGAGTGTGACACTCATTATGTGCTTGACCCTAAATTACCTCTTCTACCAAAATATCTGTGCTTCTTGCTCTACTCAGTAGACTCATGTTTGAAGCCCTGACTGAAACCATGGTTTAAACATAATTTCTGACCTCAGTTTCTGAAAAGTAATAAAAAGCAGCGCATTCACTCTGTCTTTCTGTTTTAGTCTGTGGACGAGCAGATCTTGGAGAAACCAGTTGATAAGCAAGATGCCTATAGGATGCTGTCAAGGTCTGTAGTTTTAAGTAAGATTCCGAGTATGTATATTAAACTGTTTTCAAAGGAGCTGTACAGATTCCTTGATGTATATGAGAATCTCCATGGACACAAATTTTTCAGTGATTTTTAAGCAGAGTAAACCAGTTCTTCTACTGAAAAAGTTAGACCTGCTTTTATGTTACCTATGGCTGCTTGCTCTTGCCCATTCACTGTAGGAAGCTGATCAGAGACATAATGAACTGTTTTGTTTTCACTTGGATTGATTTTCAGAATCACTTATCACAAGACTCTGTATGCTTCAGCTGGTACAGGATAGGGAGATAGGGAGAGAAATCACTGTGGGAAGGAGGACGGAACCATCATAGCAGTGGTTTGAGGCTTGAGATTTAATGGAATAATGATAGCGTATCTTGGGTTGGAAGGGACCTTAAAGATCATCTAGTTCCAACCCCCCTGCCATGGGCAGGGACACCTTTCACCAGACCAGGTTGCTCAGAGTTCCATCCAGCCTGGCTCTGAACACTTCCAGGATGGGGCAGCCACAACTTCTCTGGGCAACCTGTTCCAGTTCCTCACTGCCCTCATAGCATAGAACTTCCTCCTAATATCTAATCTAAACCTACTCTCTTTTAGTTTGAACCTACTCCCTCTTGTCCTGTCACTACAGGCTCTAGTAAAAAGTCCCTCTCCATCTTTCTTGTAGGCTCCCTTCAGGTACCGGATGGCTGCAATTAGTATTACACATACAAGAAAGTACATGATCATATGAGTTCATGGACAGTTTCTTTAAATTGTGTAGTTTGATGGAAAGAGATTTTTCCTCCTCAGTTAGTGTTCTCCATAGTTGGTAGGCTGGTGGGGGTTTTGTGAGGTTTGTGCTTTTTTCCTACTACAAGCTTAATGTTGTATTATAGCACTTTCTTTTTTTTTTAAAGATACACTAACTAACTCTAGTCACCTTTCTGAAGGATGAGATGTGAGGAATCCTCAGATCATGCTTCTGTTTTATTGGGGAGTAGAGGAAGAAAAGGTGCACTGCTTGTTTCATCAGTTTACATTATAACTCAGACGTCTAAAAAGTGAATACAAGTGGCTTGATGGTTTTTTGAGTTTTTTTCTGTAAGTGTATATAGATTTTTTAATTTTTTTCATTGTTGAATGTTTGATCCTTTGTGGCATGTTCAAATTTAAAAGTAATTTTTTGAAACAAAGAAGGGCTAGCAACCTGTGTCATTAGTAGGAGATTCAAAAAGGAGTCTTGTCTGGCAAGAGATTTTTCACAACTGTTCTTGCTTGAAATTATGCCATGTCCAGCTAATTAAATTTTTTTTTCCCCAGAGCCTAATCTACTTCTAACATATGCAAATGTTTGGGGTTTTGTTTTGTTTGTTGTAAGTTTAGGTCAATTGATATAAAATGCATGTAATGTTTAGCTTTTTAGAACTCCAGGAAAAAATGCAGACAAGA